TCAGATCTTTAAGAAACTATGAATGAGAGGCCCATGGTGCGGTGCAGGGAAGAGCTTCCAACAGGGCATGTCAGTAAAGGCACAAGGGCACTATGCCAAGGTCCACTGCCTTGGCCCTGGGAGACCCAGGTCACAGGCAAAACCATCCCCATGTCAGTCAAGGGCAATTTCCACATGCACCTTTAAGAGGACTGGAGGGGACATGAGTGGCTTTCACAACACATCAAAATTGCAAGCATTGGCCATTGTTACTACCCCACACTAGGGGATATGTCTCTAATTCAAACTGTATCTGTCACACTAATTTTAGGAAGGGTGAGCTCAGATAGTGAGCTTGAGATCTCAGGCGAGAAGATAATAAGAAGGAGACAAGGCAGGGAAGTCTAGTAGGATGGAGCCTGGTGAGTAACAGGATAATCCCAAGATGGGTCAAGGATAATAAACACCACTTCTCCTTGTCTGGGAGTGGGAGAAGCACAAAAACAGTAGGACAGGGCAAGGCCAGGCTGCCCTTCTGAATAACCAAGGCAGGTGGGGAAAGAGCACAGAGGCAGGGAGATTCACACGCAAGCATTATCAAAGGGGCTGAGGAGAGGTGGAGGCTAGGACTAGAACTGGAAGTGGGAGAGTCACAGCAGGGGAGGACAACAATGCCACAGGAGGCACCCAGGCAGGAGGAGCCCCCCAGGGAGCGTCTGATAAGAGGACCCTCCCCAGGCAGGCTGTAGATTAGGAAGAGGGGCCTAGAGTGAGCTGAAGGAGTCCAAATCCAAGAATGAGTTGCTTTTCCCAAAGAGTTAAACAAAATGCATGCACCGCCTACCAGGAAGCCTCCTCTTTCAAGCTGGTTGGGGGGGGGGGGGGGACATCCAGCTTAGTGACACAGAGGACCCCACAGAAGTGCTGAGTCCAGAGGGCAGCAGAGGGGCTCTGTGCACCAGGAGCTGAGAGCAGGTGGACAGGAAAGGACACAGGAAGGCAGGGCAAACCTGGCCCAGGTAGGTGGCCCTGAGCACTCTGGGACCCTGTGCCAGCTCTGGGACCCTGTGCCAACTTTGGGACCCTGTGCCAGCTCTAGGACTCTGTGCCAGCTCTGGGACCCTGTGCTGCCTGGTTTTCAGGTGCTTCTGGTGCTGATTAGTGCCACTGTGGCCGACACACCAGTATGAGCCCTCACATATGGACGCAGGAGTCTCAGGCAAGTTCCACTTCCTTGTTGGTGGTTTCCTGATCTCTGTTCCTCTTCCCCCAAACAGTGAACTGCCTCCAGTTCCAGTCCCAAAGCTTCACTCTTGCTGTGCCATCCGCCTCCCTGTGAGCATCCCATTGCTTCGGCCTCCACCCCTCCTCTATGTGGTCAGACCTAGGCCTCTAAGACTGCTCTGTTGTGGAAGAAGAAATTACCGATTAAGATCATGTGGAAGGTTGGAGACCAACCATGTTCGAGGTTGGCTAACAAGCCCTATTACTGTTATATGAAGACACTGAGGCTTTTGAGACCAGCCCCATGACACAATAGGTTATACTGTTGCCTGGGATGCCAGAAACCCGTATGAGCATCACTTCAAGTCCCAGTAGTTCCAGCTCCTTGCTAATGTGCCTGAGAAGGCAGCAGAAGATGACCCAAGCATTCATGTCAGGGCCACCCATGTGGGAGACCAGGATGGAGTTCTTGGCTCCTGGCTTTGGACTGCTCCAGTCATAGCAGTTTAGGTTATTTGGGGAGTGAACCAGTGTGAATGGAAGATCGATTTCTTGCTCTATAACCCATCCTTTCAAGTAAATAAAATGAATCAAGGAACGAGGGAAGGAAGGAAAGAGGGAGGGAGGAAGGAAAGTAGGAACAAGCGAGTCTTGGGAACATTTTAAAAATGACTGTAAAACCCAAGTCTGTCAAAACTGAAGCTTTCATATGTGGACATGACCAGCTCACAAATATTAATTACGAGAACTTTTTTTTTTCTTTCCTCTTTCTTTCCCCATCAGGAAACCCAATGGGAATTCAGCCTCCCCTGACACTCAGCCCCAAGAAAATGAGCTCAGTAGGTGTGCTCCACCACGTTCTGCTCACCCTCCCTGCCATCGTCCAGGGATTAGCCTCCTTCCTGGTGCCCCAATCTGCCCAGGCACTCACCACAGAGGCGTGGCAGGTCATCTTGTCCACTCCCTACCAGCAGGCACAGTGACCACACCCAGCCTCTTGCAGATCTGCAAAGCAGCCAAGGTCCCACCAAGTCCGCATTCTTTTCCTGCTCCTTCCCTCCAGCACATCCTTCCTCTCCTGTCTACTAGGAACTGCATGGAATCCTTTTGCTTCCAAGCAAATGGGGTCAGATGGTTTGATGGAAGCTGTACCTTCCACAGCAGGGTTCTCCAAGCCCCAATGTGATTCATGAGGAAACTCCCAGAGGAAGTTTAGAGGACAAAATCCTGATGCAGTCCCCACCTATGTCCTTAGTAATATAACAGTTTCATAATGCTGGAAGGACCGTGACTGGGTAATTCCCAAAGCTCCTTTCTTCCCAGTAGGAAATAAGAACTTCTACTTCCCAGAGTCACCACATTCTGCCAGGGCTTAGGGTAACAGAAGCACGCACACTTGGTAAGTTAGCTTGAGAGAAACACATGGAAGAAAAGGCACTAGGCCCTTAGCCTGCTCATAGTCTCAAGAACTCGGGACTTATGATGGCTAGGAAATGACTTCTGAGAATCTGGAGAAAACAAAAGAACTGAGTCAAGGAGGCCTTGCTCTTTCTCTAGAGCACATTCCTAGACTAGGAGAGGAAGTCCCAGAAAATCTGTGAATGGCAAACTTGGTTTCTGATGGCTGCCCACCAAATGACCTAGAACCAAGAATGTATAAATTATCTAAATAATTTCTTGGTGCACAGAGGAACTAGAAAACAGAAGAACCAGAATTCAGAGGCTGAAGAGAGACCCAGGAGGAAAACTGAGGAGAAGGAAGATAACTGACTGCAGATTGACTATGAAAAGCCAGGACTCTCCTTGAGTCCCACTTTTGGGGCAGCCTTGTGTGCCCATTTCTGCTTGCCTGGAGACATACATGGTCTGTCTAAAGTCTGCAAGCCAGCTGTTGAATGCAGCCATTATTAAAAAGGAAATATGAACTCAATAAACTCAATAATTTGCATGAATGCAAAGGGGATAAAGCATTAATAATTCATCACTCCTTATTTTCTTATACTTCACTGTTACCAAGCTCCTGAAATTATGCAGTTCTCCTATTTCATGAGCATATTATACAGTTGTGTATACCAACACTTCTCCCAACTCCATGTCAGTGACAGGATGTAACTTGAAATCACCCATTGTAGGAGTATTGAAATCACAAAAACTGTAAAATTCTGCAAATCCAGAATTCCTTGCCTCAAAACCACCCCTCTCCCAAAGCCAGTGTCAAACTATTTCCCCCTTCAGTCTTCTCTTCCAACACTGAATAAGGTTCCATGTAGAAGTGGAGGAAAAAGTTCAAGAGTTCCCTTAAACACAATCGTGATATCAGAAACTTCCTTCTCTGGTCTCCCCGGGGATGGTGAGTACAATAATGACTTTAATCATCCAGCACTAGATTTAGGAACTTCCCTGACTTCACTGTTGACTCACCCTAACAGGAACTTGCTGCCTGAGATGCTCTGCAACCTCTCTTGCTGCTTTATCATGAGCTTTTCTTGCAATGAACCAGAGCTTAACTGTTCCCATCCCTCCACCAGCTAAGTCTGAGCATGACTCCACAATTCCTGGCAAAGGAAGACAGTCTCACAAAACCTGTGTAGCCATCTTCCACCTTGCAGGAGGTTGAGCTGGACCTTCTCCATTCTGGGAGTGCCCTCCTCAAGTCACCCTCAGCAGTCCTCTGCTTTAAGACAAAGTGTACCAGGCACAATACTCCACTGCAAATGGAACTCTCAATCTCTGGAGTCATCCAGTACGTGTCCTTAAATGTGGTCAAACACAGCTACAAGTGTTTAACTCCCTTCTTCCTGTCCCTATTCCCAAGAACCCCACCTCCCAAGTCAACTGTCTCTGGTTCCCTTTATCTCCCCAATATCTCTCTTTCCTCCTCCCTGGCTCTGCCAAGGCAGAGCAATCAATGTCACCACCCCCTTTGCAAACATCCAGTCCATCATCTCAGGAGTCGCATGGTTACATATAACCAGATGGGGCTTACTAAAGATACTTTGAGGTACACGAGTACCCCACACTCCATGTGACCTAGATTAACAACGGAAGAATTAGTAACAAGACAAAGGGACCAGTATTGTGGCACAGCAAGAAGAGCCGTTGCCTATAATGCCAGCATTCCATATGAGCTCCGGTTCACATGCTGACTGCTCCACTTTCAATCCAAGACCCCACTAATGGCCTAGGAAAAGCCATGGAGGATGGTTCAAATGCTTGAGTCCTTGCTACTCACACAAGAGACACAGAAGCTCCTGACTTGGGCCCAGACAAGCTCTAGTGGCTTTCAGGATCTGGGGAGCAAAGACTTCCCTCTCTGTCACTCTCTGTGTGTAAACACATCTCTACAGCAGGTGGTTGGGCAGAGGTAGTAGAACTAAGTGAGCTTGGAACACTATGCTATTCTCAAGGCTCTTAGCCCTAGACAACACGCATGTACAAATGATTTGTCCTGCTGTGTGTCTGCCACAGTCACCCTGAAGAAGTACAACCTCGTGGTGGAGTGCAGAGGGGATGCCTTCAACTTCCCAAGAGAACTTGAGCCAAGGGACAAAAGCTATTTGGGGACGGACCAAAAGCAGGTGCAAGCGATGACATATTCTCCTGAATGTTGACAGTGCACTAGGAAATCATGCACAGCCACCAGAGGCACTGAGGAAGAGGGTGGAACAGCCTTGGTCAGGAATGCCGTAGGATTCCAAGTATCAGACAAGCAGACAGATGTCCTGGAGGTAAGCATGCCTAGGTCAGATCCTGAACGATTAGCTTTTCTGCCTTGGTCCAGACACCCACTTCCTCTCAACCTCACTCTCTTTCTCTGTGCTATGGGAATAAATGCAACCTAACTAAGGAATAAAGACAACATCCCAAAAGGTAACAAGCATTCAGTGGGTGCTCAGTACATGCTAACCCCCTTTCCACCAAAGGGAGGGCTGGGCTGGAAGGTCTGGGAGAGTCTGCCTTCCAAACCCTACCTGGTTGTGTGCAGAGGGGAACACAGGCCTGGGAGAGACAGAGAAGTCAGGATTAAGCAGATGAGATGAGGAGAAGGGGGCAGCTGGGAGCATTTGAGTCCCAGGGATTCATGGGCTGCTGCAGGAACGGGGCAACCTCTCCCACTCTCCAGGTGAGCCCTCCACGCCCAAACCTCCCTGGAATGCACGGCCACCACCTCTGTCTCCAGTCTCAAAGCTTCTTTATTGTGCTCACATGGTTGCCTCGGAGCTCAAACCGACTTCACATCTCACACACAGCCAACAACTTAATGCAGACCCCCACCCCGACCCAACCCCCGGAGCCCTCTGCCGTGACTGGGGACACCGGGCTGGGGACACTCACTACCTCTTCTTTCTCCTCCCTCCTTCTCCCCGAGCTTCAGGCCTCAGGGTGCAGAGTGGGCACCGGACAGCCTTCCTCCACCCTCTGCAGGCACCTCCCACTTTAGGGGAGGAGACTCTGCCTTCCTACGAATTTCCCGAAGAAAATGTAATGTCTTCAGCCCCCAACCGCCGGACGGCCTGGGACAAGCCCTGTCGACACCTTCCCGCGTGTGTCCCCAGCTGCGGGCAGGGAGCCCCGCACCCTCCTCCCGGCCGGGACGCAGCCCGGAGAGGCGCGGCGCGTGAGTTCACACCAAAAGACCGTCCTTGCAAGGCAGCGGCGCCTGGGCGCAGGCGTCAGGCTCGGCGCTCTTGACCTTGACGTAGACCGGGGAGGGGCCCGCTTCGCAGGCGGCAGCGACGGTGCGGGGCGCCAGGGCCACGTCCTCGGGGCCGCCGCAGGGTGTAGGCGCGTACTTGCGGCGCACGGAGCGGCTGACGTTCTGCGTCGGGTACCCCAGGAGGTGGGTGACGCGGCTGCCGCGCCCGCTGGCCTTGCACCCGGGCGCCAAGGCGTCCTCTCTGTGGAAAACAACAGGCGGGCGGGTGAGCGGGCTCCTCCGCGGCGCGGCGCAGCGTGGTCACAGCCTGGGCAGAGCTGGAAGCTCGTGGCAACGTATCGTCTCCCGCGCCTCCCGCCCTCTGCCCCTAGCCTCTCTCCCTGGGTCCCGACCTACTCTCTTCTCTCAGCCCTCTTCCTGCCACCTGTGATCCTGTCCTCCATGCAGGGCATGTCCTGACAACCCAGGGGGAGCAGCCCGGTCCTGGTGCGCTCCATCCCTCCCTGACTTCTTGTAGAAGTGCTACCGCGCTTTCCCTTTCTTTCCTATCCAACCCTGACCTTGCGCACACACGAGAGCGCGCTCACCTCATCCCTGTCCTTCAGCCTTCTCCGACTTTCCCTGGCACCCCAAGGCATTGCAATCATTAGCACTGCTAGTCTTTCTCTATTTTTATTTCTAGTTTGTTTCTAATGTCAGTTTCTAACACTATCCTTATTAACTTCTTAAATAATTATGTCAGTGTTCTCACCGGCGCGATACAGGGGCAAAGTGGGGAGGGAGGAAGAAAAACACGAACCCTGCTCTCCTGGAGCTTACAGTCTAGACCAGACAGACAGGTGGGTGCACAGACCAAGAGGGGAGTGGAGGGCAAGGCCGCAGAGGTGTGGGGAAGAGAGAGAAAGCCATGCGGTGGGTGGCAGGTCGACATGCTGAGGTCCCAGCACTCCGTGGCGATGGCGGGCAGGATTAGGGTGGGGGTCCCAGCCGCAGGTGACAGGCAGGGGTGAGGAGGGCAGGGCGCCGGCTCCCTGGCCCTCCGCAGCATGCAGCATGCAGCATGCATCAGGTTTTACCTGATTTCACTAGCCAAGTCGCCGCAGGCCCCTCCGCCGACCCCGCCGCCGTTGCCGTAGCCGAAGGCACCACGGGAGACTCCAGCCCCGGCGCCCCCGCAGCAGCAACAGATGAGCCCCCAGATGCCCACGGCCAGGCAGGCCAGCATGAGCAGGGAGCCTAGCACGGCGCCGATGATCATGCCCACACGCTGAGAGTCTGTGGGAAGAAGGGAGGACCATCAGGGCAGGGTCTGGGGAGAGAGATGGTGGCCCAGGGTCCTTCTGCCCTAAGAAGGTCTACCCAGTGCAGAAGGTCTGGAGTGGTAAGGTAACCCAACCCAACCATCCCCCTCCCCACCAGGGCACTTCCAGTCCAGCCCTCCTAGTCCGGGGTCTCAAGGCCACTTGCACTTACCTGAGACCTTCACTTCCACCACACAGACGCTGTAGCCCACATGGTTGGCCACTGTGCACTGATACAGCCCATTGTCCTCTCTGGAGATGTCCTTCAATACCAGGTCCCCATTGTTCAGGCCTGAAATGGAGGGTACATTAGCAGGGTTTGATGAGAGGTTCCACCCCAGCTTCAACCCTGGGAATGGGGTGGGGGATGGACACCCATTCTGGAAGAACAGAGGACATCCATAGGTCCATCTCCTGTCTCCTCCTCTGCCTGAAGCACAGAGAGACGGAAGGGCCCCTCTGTCACTCAGGAGGGCAGACACCTGCAAACCCCACTGTGGCCCTAAAGCAAAGCCTCCTTCTCTGAGCCATGGTCTCTAAAACCATGGAGCTGGAAGGGCCCTTCCAGCTTGTCATTCTTGGCCTGTGACTGTTAACTCAGTTTATGCCTCTTTCCATTGAATTCTCCCATGCCCTAGAAAGGTAAATGTTAATATTCCCCCTTCACATATAAAGAAATCAGGAGAGAGGAAGCCACTTGTCTGAGGCTACTGTTGGTCAATGTCCCAGCCAGAGGTTCAGTCTTTGCTTCAGAACATGCTGTTTCTAAATTAACTCTTCTGTTTTTGGCTGACTCCCCTCTTTCGTCTTCTCTTCGTTTGGGCCAGGCCCAAAGGAGGAGTCTCCCACAAGGATTCCAAGTGTAACCACATGGCAATGACAGCCCGGAGAAGCTCCAGAGGGTCCCAGAGGTTCTGATCTTCCCACTTATCCCTAGTCTGTCCTCTCCAGTTCCCCTGACCTTGATTGATGGAGCTGTGGAAGGATTCCTGGTAGGAGAGCTCGGAGTGGAAGCTGTGCTGGGAGTGGTAAGACCCGGCTCGGTAGGGATGAGTGTGTCCACTGATCTTGGCCCACTTGTAGGAGAGGGGCTGGGAGCCTCCATTGGCAAAGCACTTCAAAACCACATCATTGCCTTTGGACATGTGGCCCTCAGTCCAGCACATGGGCACTGCAGGACGTGCTGCAAAGAAACAGGCAGTTGTAAGCCCAGGGTCAGTCAAGAGGCAGAGCCAAGGTTCCCAGGAGCCAAGCCACCCTCATCCAAGAAGCCTTTGGGAGGGCAGCCCAGAAGAATCTGGCCCTACCTTGGACAGTCACAATGACCTTCCGGGTAGCCATGGTGGTCTTCTTCACCCGGCACTCATAGGTGGCTGTGTCAGACACCTGCAGGTTCATGAGGTTGATGGAGGCATCATACTGGCTGGGGTCTGAGGCTGCAAAGCGGACCCTCTGTTGCAGGTGGGGAAGGTTTCCATGGTTGATCCTCTTGTCCTGGTAACTCAGGAACTGTGAAGAAAACAGGGAAACAGGGACTGAACCAAGCAGAAGGAGAGCCATGTTGGATTGACCATTTGGACAATTCATTGAATTTTTCTTCCAAAACTTTTCTCAGCTGCAAAAGGGAGTAAAGCTTGATGCACTTGTGGCTCATAGAAGGGGTAAAATCAAGCTTTTGGGGAGTATGACTTCAAGATGAGAACTTCTTGAGGGTAAGGACCAGACCCCATCCTGCCTGGACTGAGGGGTGGGAGGAATCAAACTGGCTGGCCAGCTGGATTCAACACTGCAGAGCTTTCCCCTCTGTTGCCCCATTGCCTGAGAAGCCTGGGGGGAAGTTTAAGGTCATGTTCTTATTTTGCATGCCCCTGGAGAAGAGAGATAGCTGCAGGTGTAGAGTAAGGAGAATCCTGTGTCCAACACTCACCACATTCTCCCGGTGAGAAGGATCTGAGTTGACCTGCATCCACTCAATGTCCAAACCATTGGGACCATAGTCCTCGGGGTCCAAGATGTAAGGGCAGCCCAGCCTCACGTTATCACCTTCCGCTAGGTACAGGACCTCCTGGCCATCCCCATTGATCCTCACAGCAGACAGCAGTGCTAAGGGAAGGGCAAGGCAGGTGGAGTGAGAGGAGCAGAGCTGGGGCTGAGCCATCAGCTTCAGCCTCTGCCATCAGCACTGAGTCAGCTGCTCATCCAGGGCTCCGTGGGGCTTCCATAAGGAGCATGGGCTGCTCTTCGTGTATATTCTGCATATGTGCATGAAGTGATCAAGGCGTGTCCTGCATCCTTGTGTTGCATGTATGATCATGTGGCAGTGTCTGTGTATGCACTTGTATGTATATTCCCAGACAGAATGCTGTTTGTGTGGATATATGCATTGCATGTAAATATGTATTGTTAGGCTTGCATGTATACAGGATTGTGTACATTCATGGAATAGGTACACGTGTGTACATTGTGTGCTTATGTGTACTGCAAGGGAAGCATGCACCATGACAAGGTAAGTACTGCTTACACACTTACAGGAATGATGTGTACGTGTGAAGGCATGTGGGGCACACAGAGCTGTTAAATGCTCTGATTAAAACGTCTGAGTGGTTAAAAGCAACCTGCCTGGCACCTACATGGCTGGGCTTAGTGAGGCTCTGCTGTCTAGAAGCAAGCAGTGAGGTACAGTGGCTTCTAGGCTCCCCTTCCAGACTGAGAGAAGAAAGAGTGTGTCTGTAGTTGTTGTAAGGCCGTGGCTGGTGTATACATCAGGTGGTAAGTGATGTGTCTGCCTGGATGTGCCAGGGCTTTAAGTGGTAGTACCCATGGCCAGAAACCTGGCTGCTCGTGTGTGACATGTGTCTCTGCAAGACTGTGTGAGCATAGCGTGACATGCATGGCGTTATGGACTGTGTTTCCCTCCCTCCGTGGGATTGTGCTGCTCAGGTGCAGCCGCTCCCACACGCGCATTCCCACTGAGTCAGAGGCAGGCAGCCAGCGTGTGGAGCCAGGATCCGGATGCTCCGGCCCAAGCTCTCCCTCCCTCCCCTGAAGCCCCAGACTGGTGCTAGCCCCAACCGGTTGGACCTAGAGAGGGATAAGAGAGGGGATGGACCCATTGCCCCACCCCAGCCCTTAGCTCACTGCCTCTCCAAGTTCCTCAGACCCCTACCCAGCCAGTTTCCCCTCCACCTGCATTCTGCACCTCCACATCCTTTGGAATCCCAGCCCCCAGAAATCATTCTGGCTGGGACCATATTCATCTCACACACAACTACATAGGCAAAAAGAATCAACACATGGACCCCAGTTACTTAATGAAGTATATATCCATGCAACACCCCTCCCCCTTCCAAAACAGAGACGCACAATTGCACACAAGCTTTAAAACACTAATCCAGGAGACACACCCCCTACACGCTCATGTGGTCTCATGTGCGTTCATTCAAGACTAGACACATCTCAGGAAGCCCTGCTTGGCAGGCTTAGCCTGGCTGTAGGAAAGCCAACAGAAGTGCTTTCGACTCTCCCAACACTGCCTCTACACCATGGCTGGGCCATAGGCCATGCCCTAACCCAGCTAGACTTCAGGGTTACCCAGATCACGCCGGCTGGCTGCTGGGGCCCTAACGGGACCTGGTAATGCTGCCTCCTCCAGCCCTAGGCCAAGAGAATACTAGCTCATTTCTGAGATAAGGATCCTGCTGCCACCTGCCAGCTCCTGGGGCGGCATGAAGCCGGTGAGAGATGTGCCAGTACTCAGCGGAGAGCAGAGACACCTCCCTGGGGAAGAGCCGCCAGCTCAACCCACAGTGGCAGTTTTCTCTCTTCCCACACCGTATGACCAGCTGGGAAGGAGGGTAAGTAAGTATTGAGGGAAGGGAGTTGGGAAGAAAGGATGCTTGGGAAAAAAAATACCCCCACCCTGCCTTTCCCAGCCATGGAGCCTCGCCTTAGCTTTTCAGTCTCCTTAGAAGCTTTCTCAACCTCCTCGCAAGGATTCCAGCCTTTCTGCATCCCCTCCCTCTCCCTGGGAAGTAGTTCTTGGTATCTCCCTTTGATTCCTCTTGCTGTAGGACAGGGGAGCTTGTTGTTCCAGCGAGTGAGAGAGGGAAGGAAGGTGGGGTGGAAGAGAAAGCTGGGTAGGGACACAGACGAGTAGCAGGAGTCTCAACAGCCCTGCATCCCACCCCCCAAAAAGAGGACAGTAGTAGCTCATTATCTTCCTACAGTGCTAGGGGCTAGCCACTTTGTATTGCTGTTAGCTCAGTATTTGTGCCTGCCCTCACCTGTAAATCCTTTCTGAATTTTCAAGCTGCTTCTATAACTCTGAATCCTCCTTCTGGCAATGTCGGAGGGAAGAGAAGGAAGCGGGGGGGGGGGAAAGTAGCTCCATGGGAGAGCAGTGGTGCACAAATACACGCAACACAGGATTGCCCAGGCCCCCCAGGGCACAGCCGCAGCTCGCTGAGTGGATTCAACCTCCCTGCTCTCCCGGAGGTGTGGCATGCATTCTGCCAGAAGTACATGTTCACACAGAAGTGGAGGTGCCCCCTCACGCATGCCACCCTCACACCTCTTTTTCTCCCAAATCCAGACCCTAGGAAGAGCACAAAGACGTTTCCAGTGATGACCCTTGCTGGGACATGCCCGAAAGCTGGGCAGGCAGCCAGAACACCTGAATGCTGTCCTCCCACCCCCATCCTGAGAGCCACAGCAGGGTGATCATCCTGAAAGAGGGTCTTACCCTGGAATTCACGGGGCCCAGGAAGCGCAGGGGTCTCAAACCACTCGGACACACCCCAGCCCTGCCTCTGACCCTTTGAAGGCAAGCAGCAACTCCCCAAGCGGCTGTGGCCTCAACAGAGGCCCTCCCACACAGAGATGAAAGCTGATTCTTCCCACACTGCTCCCCAACACTCCAGTCCTGGCCCACCGCTCACCTGACACTCTCCTGCCCCACCTCCAGCACCCACAGGTAACTCCAAGTAAGTCCTATCCCCCTGGTTCCGGTGCAAGCCCTTGGGACACCTGTGCCCTATGCAGGCTCCCCAGGGCTCTGCGACACCACAGAGATACACACACAGTCCCAAAACTTCCAGTTCCAGCTTTCCTGGGGAAAGACCCCCTTGACAATATCCAAACCCAGATTTCAGCCAGATACGACTGACTGGGCAGTGCCCACCAGGACCTTCAAACCATCTTGCAGTCTCCTCCGTAAGTCCTAGCTGCACCTTTCCCTGCCCACCTGGCCTCATGCTGGTGGGCATGCCTGCCCACTGCCCAGCCCCATACCTGGGCTCAGACACACGAGTAGAAGGTGGAAGGCTCCTCGAACTCCCATGGCTCTAGGCTTGGTGTTTCCTCCGTCGGGGCTGGGTATCCCGTGGGCTGGTGGTGGTGGGTGTGTTGGGTGGGTGGAGGGAGGGGAGTCGAGGGCCCAGACACTGCCCGGGGTGGCAGGAAGGTGCAATGAGTGCCTGGCTGCGAAGCAGCCGGAGTTATTTCAATGGGAGGGAGGGGGCCTGGTCCCCGCCTTGGGGAGGAGTCCCAGGCACCCTAATTAGCAGGGTGACAGAATGGCCTACCCAGGCATTACCCAGCCCTCACCCAAGCTCTTCCCGGTCCCGAGAGTAGCACAGGGTGGCCAGCGGGACTTATAATTAGGCACCTGTTAAACTTCCACTTCCTCCTGGCCACGTCCTTGGGGTGACAACAGTTGCCCCATTTGACAGCGTCCACAGAGCTCCCCTCACCACTCATTTTCTGCCTCCTTCCCTGGGGGAAACGGGGAAGAGGAAGGAGAAGCTTCGGGGAGGAAGGTGGACCAATTCTTGAAGAGTTACCCCTGAACTCCAGAGCAGCCTCCTGGCTCCAAGTCCAGCCTCTTCAGGCCTCCCTGTCCCTCCAGTGACACTCGGACCCCACTACCTTCAGAGGGACATGCAGATGCACCAGGGAAAGAGCCCCCTTCCCCATGTTGGGACCTGGAACTGAAGGGAAGCCACTCTCCACCCATCATATGAAAGAGGCTGGGAGTGCCAGGCCTGCATACCAGGGAGTCAAGCTTTCTGAGCCAAAAGAGGAAAGGGAGGAGTGTATGCAGAGATAGGATCTCCCCCTGGCTGGCCACTGTAGAACCCTGTGCAACTCGGGGTCATCCCTGGAAGGAGGGTGTTGCAAGAAATCCAGGCCCTGATCTGGCCCACAGGTGTCAAGGTAGTTCCAGAGACCTGAGCGGAGGTGTGTGGGGAGAGGGAGGTGAGTGGGTGGATGCTGGAGAGAACAGGACTAGGAAAGAGTGTGCCTTGTGGAGTGCGTGGGTGTGAAGGAGGCAGGTGTCTTTGTTCGGCAGTGCCAGGCCCCCTCTTGTGTGTCCTGCCTTGGGGAATCACCCGGCTCTCATGACCAGGAAGAGTGGCCAGGCCTTGAAGGATTCATGCAGACCAAGTCCTTGGGTCCTTGAGACTGGTCCTGAGGGGACTAAGCCAGCACAGGTCTTAGCAGAAAGTGGAGGGCTAATCTTTGCTGGCAGGCCCAGGCGACAGAACAGGCCATGTGCCTCCCTCGACTCCAGGACTGCTGCATGGGCCTGTTCCACAGCAGGACTCCATCAAGGTAGAGCAGGGCCTTCCACCAGCCCTGACGCGGTGCGTGGCAAGGGCAGTTGGGGAAGAGCCTTGGGGAGAGTTATGGAACTCAAGGATGCTGCCGGGAAAAAATAAGACCAAGCAATGAGGAAGCACAAGGAGTCCACGCATCTCTATTCCAAACCCCCTCTGCCTGAATTCCCGACAATAACAGGGCGTTCTGGGAGCCAAGAGATGTACACAGCGAATATCCTTATTTCCTTATTTATTTTTAGGTTTATGGGATTTCCTGAATCCTCAGCAGAGCAGGGATCATTATCCCCATTTTACAGCTTGGGAAACAGAAGCCTGGAGAAACATGGAGGTTTGGCTAAGTTGCTGCTGCAGCCCAAGTGAGGGGCAGCCACACATCCCGACTGCCAGGGCAGAGTAGCCCAAGGAAACCACTGGGTGGCCCTATGCCATACTAGAACTGATGGGGCAGGTCAGTGGTGAGTAGAGGGGGATCCAGGTTGGACTAGGAAGCAGAAGGCTGAAAGAAAAGGTGTGCTCATGATTGCTTAAAGGTGCAGTGCAGGGTAAGAGCTTTGCTGTGTTCTGGACTGAGCTGGTATTGCAGCTAGGCTGCATGGTAGAGTCAGGGTTAAGTTTGGGGTTACCTGAAACTGAATGAGACAGAGGTCAGATCTGAAGTTGGGATTAGGATTACAATTGCACTAGAATAGGCTAAGGTGTATGGTTGGAACTTATGTTATGCTAAGAAATCAAGTTTTAGTTTTATTTACAGTTGTGCTTGGAAAGAGCTCCTCCTCCCCAAATACATGGAAATGCACATTGTGAAAAAGCTACACATGGGTTTTAAAAATATTTTTGTACCAAAATAAACTTACCTTTTAAATCCATTTTCCACAATTCTGTTTTGAAGTATCTTCTGTAGTTAGGGCTAAATTGAAGTCTAAGTTGAGATTGGTTTAGCATTGGGGTTACAGCTAGGTTAGAACTGAGTTTGGGGTTCAAGTTCATATGATTAGGCTTAAAACATGCTTAATGGTGCATGAGAGCAAGAATGTTCATGAGAACGTAGAAAGGCCTCAGCCTCCGTCTGCTGGCTCCAGGACTGACCTGATGTCCATCGGCTCTGGCAGAATCCTGGGGTAGGTGTTGATTGATGCCCCAAGACGTGGGGGAGGGGTCCAGATGTGCCTGAGCCCAGCTGAGGAGTGTGGAGACACTGAATCCTGTAATAAGTGTCACCTTGGGGGTCCTGCTATATAACTAAAGCTCATGGCTGAGAAAGGCTTTGGGGAAGAAGGTAGAGGAAGCTATTGGTAACGAGGGGCGCTCTGACACCAATTTGAACTGAAAGATGGGATCCAACAGAGGGAGACTTAGAGTGAAGGAGGGAGTCTGTTTTAGAGACCAAGAGTTGGGAATCAGGGGAGATTAGGGCCCAGAGGCTCCTAGAAACCTGGTGAAGGCATTGCCTAGGGGTCTTTAAGCACATGAAGTCAGGGCACCACCTGGGGAGGGTTTAATTGCCACATCCTTGCAGTATGGATCCTATAAAAACAGCTGTTGGCTTTCCCGCCCTGGGCCTGGAGCTCTGCAGTGTGGATTGATGGAACTGGGCGGAGGGGCAGCCTGCAGGCCTCTTCCTAAGGCCCGCCTACATCCCCTGTCTGTCTCTGCAGAGGAGGGTCCTACTCCTGGGACGCATCCAGGAGACTATTAGGCAGCCCTTAATGCCTCCAGGGAGACAGTCATTGGTTAAGAGACACGCAAGACATGTAAATGCTCCATCTGAGATTTCAAAAGAGATGGGGGACCTGGACTATGATCTGGGACTCAATTATGAATTTCCAAAAGGACCTCTTGCTTTTCCCTGAGGAACTCACAGCTCTCCTGGGGACAATGGTTTCTCTTCCATTCACTTTCCAGAGAATAGCCCTGATAGAGATGATATCTGTTTTTATTCTAAGACAAAAACTGAATAGTAAAGACAGAGGCCTTGAAGGCAGTGAATGGAGACATGAGAGGGGCGACCAGGCAGTGTCAGGACCCAGAGAAGCCAAAGGCTGCCTCTTTGAGAGTGCAGCCCAAGACCACCACCATCTGGGGCAAGGCAGGCAGAGGTTGCCACCTGCCTTCCTCCAAAATCCCCTTCAGAGTGGTTCTACCCAACCTTCCGCCTGGGTTTCCTACTCCAGCCCTCTCCCTTTCCAAACTGTACTACCTGTAGTTAGCAGGTTCCTCAGCCCTTTTACAGAGTCCCCACACAGACCAGAGCCCTCCTCTGGATGCCCGGGGAGGGAATCCCCAGAAACAACAGTTCTCTGAGGATAGGCCAGAGTCTGGGGACAGGAGCTTACACAACGGTGAGTGGACAGCATTGTTCAGAAGCCAAGGAGTTGTTGCAGCTGCTTTCTCTCCATCCAGCGCTCAGCGAAAGGGTTGGGGGCTAAAGGACTGCCCCAGTGAGGCCCAGGCAGGACAAGAAGGCCGGGCTTAGAGGTGGCAGCAGTGGCCCACTAGGATAATGCTGTGCTTTGGCAGGCCAGGGCAGTTGTTCAATAGGCTAATCCTATACCTGCCAATGCCAGCATCCCATACAGGCACCGGTTTGAGTCCTGGGTGTTCCACTTTCTATCCGGCTCTCTACTTGTAGCCTGGGAAAGCAGTGAAGGATGGCTCAAGTCACCCACGTGGGAGACCCAGAAGCTCCTGGCTTTTGGCTTCAGTCTGCCTCAGCTCTGGCAGTTACAGCTATTTGAGGAGTAATGAACCAGCAGATGGAAGATTTGTTGCTCCTTCTCTGTAAAACTCTACCTTTCCAATAAAAATAAATAAATCTTCGGGTTTTTTTTTTAATTTTTATTCTTTTTTTATAGTTTTATTGGGTTTTTTTGTTTGTTTAGTTATGTTTTTTTTTTCAATTTTAGTTTTTTTTTTTTCCTTTCATATCCCTCTTTCGGCTGCTTCCCCCCCACCGTACCTCTTAGCTTTCTTCCTCCCCCGTCTCTCTTACCTTTTCTTCCCCGCTGTCGTATCTCTTACCTTCCCCCTGCCCCTCACCGCCATAGGCCTTAGCTTTTCTCTGCTGCTTTTCTCCCCACTTTACTTTTACTCCCGTTAGGTCTTATACCCCGCTTTCTGCTGCTTTTCTCCCTGCCCTGCTTTTACTCCTCGTAGGTCTTATACCCCTCTTTACTGCCCCATTTTTCTCCCAGTCCCTTTTTTTTTTTTTTTAAATAACGTTCTCTGACAAGGAATGGTTCTTTAGATACAGTAAGTTGAACACAACTCTTGGGGTTGGGCTTGAGGATGTGGGTTGGGATTAGAAGTTAAAGCCCACATGAGGGCTGGAAGGCAAGAGCTTTGGACAACGGTGACCCGGAGACTCCCAAGGCCCTTGGTCAGACTTCTCAAACTCATGTCAGCAGAGGCACCTGAGAGGGAGTCTGCATACGCCCAGATTTCCCAATTCAGCCGAGTCTCAGGACTGGCTCAGACTCAAAAAGAGCAGATAACACATAGTCCCCAGTTCTGTGTCAACAAAACACAACGATAGCAAAGTTGAATTGTTATCAAGGGGATGTGCAGACAAAGAAGAGCTGTGGAAAGCACAAGAAAGAGTTAAGAGATCTTGAAGACAGATCAGCCTCATGCAGCAGACTCTGCATCCCTGTGACAGATGGCTGGGCTTCGTGCTAGACCCTGGAGGAACAGTTGTTAAGGAGACTCGGTCTCTATCTTCCAGAGTGCCCCCTCGGGTAGAGGAGACAAATTAGCAAAGTAGACCCTAGCCCAGAGGGTGGCAGGCCATGGCACACGGCACAGGGCCCAGCCAGCTGGAAATGATGTTGAAACAGTGATCTGAAGCCCAAGTCA